TAGTTCTTATTAAAAAATATCTTGGCTTTAATAGGCATTCAGTAGGCACAAAACAAGTTTCTATTAACGCCTTTCCTGAAAATATATTTGTTTATCTTTTTGAACATGAGCTTTCTTTCTGGTATAGTCCTGTGCAATGAAAGTATTCATGTGTTTTTCAAGGTAAAGCTGGGGAATAAAGATTGAAACAATTAGTCAACTATGATTATTGGAATATTAGACAAGATCCAAAATTAAAAACTATAGGATATGTTTTATTTATGGATAATGAGAATTCTTACAGAGTTAGCTTTAGTTGGTTACAATCTGAATTTAAAGAGAATGAATGTGTTTTTCACTGCAGTACTGCTACGTGTAAATTCATAGCAGATTCTGGAGAATTTTCTGAACAGTAAGAAATATAAAAGCTTGGTTAATAAAATGAGTGCCACCAAGGGAAAACCTGAATGTTTAATTATAAATTTTATAAGTAAGCATTTAGATTTTCTCTTGGTGGCACTCAAATGATCCTTCTGAACTATAATTTCATGGTTTTCTAACGGATCTTATTATTATTATTATTATTATTATTATTATTATTTTATTAATTATTATTTTATTAGACCTACTGCACCCCGAGCAAATCGTGTCATTTCTCAAACGCCAAATCTACCACAAGTTCACAAGATAGATTCTAATCTGAATTCTCCAAATGATAAATCAAATCAAAAAATTTATAGATTTATATTACCTCGAGTGCTATTTCAACAATTAAATAGATAATTTTTTTTTTTGTTTTTATATTTTTAGAGATATAGTGTTTAAATGATATACTTCAATAGATTTAGATCAATGAGAAGTATAATAGCACTAAGATTTTTGATTACCACTATAAAAAATAAAATTTAATATAGTGTTATTTGAAACTGCCGCTAAATTTTTGGTTTTTTAATATTCCAATATGAAGGAATAATAAGCTATTTATTTGTAACACTTTAGATTCCTGATGGTTCAAGATCCTGCATGATTCTAAAATCTGACATTCGAGTTTTTCTCTACTGAATATACATTACCAGTACTTATGCTGTTCATAAAATGCTAAATGGAAAAGCGATTATTACTTTAAGTAATCCTTTTTATTTTATATTTTTTTATTTGTACACAATATATACTTGTATAGCTAACTTTTTCAATTAAATTATATAACTACTGAGATTATAATGCTATATGAATTACTGTATATAAGCAGTCTAATCTAAATATATTTCAGTTAAGTTCAAACCATATTTGATAAATACCTTATATTTTTTAAATATTTTGCGAATTACAACAATTAGCATATTATATATTAACATAAAATTATAATTTTTTTATCTAAGATTCAAAAATTATAGTTAGAATTTTATACTTTTCAAGTAATAAATAGTATTTACTCTAAATTTTATATCTCTTGAAACTTTATAAAATTTTATGTTATTGGGGTGGATAATTAACGTTATAGTGAAACTACAGTATAATTAATAATAAAAATGTTAAAAAATCAAATAAAAATATAAATCGTACACATTAACTTTTTAGATATTTCATATAGGCGGATTTTTTGATTTTGGCAATTATTAAATTATTAATTATAAGATTTTATGAAATTTAATACGTGATATTGTGATCTCTGGTAAAATAGATGATCTCAAATTATACAAATGTATTTGATTAATCAATTGTTTGTCATAGCTTACGAATCGCTTATAAAACTACATAATAATTACTATTTAAATTAACGATAACTTTAAAATCAATATTGGAATACAATAACTGTAAAATTCAAATAGAAATTATTATATAATTATTGCATCATGCATCTCAGATCAATTCCTTATCACTGACGCAAATGTGAAATTAACATTTGTCGATTCTTTGTTATAAATAC